CGCTTGGACTGTACTTCCAAATGCTCCATTTTATCCGTTATGGCTATTTGACTCTCACAAGTTTCGTGCTTCCAAATACTCATCTCCTTGGTTTGTATTTTCTGTTCACCCATGGCAGCTTTAATCACATCCACCTCTCGCTGGGTAAACTGCAAACTCGTTTTTATCTCCTGTATTTCTCTGGTCATGTCGTCGAATCTCTTGTTTGTCTCCATAATTAGTTGCACGAAGCCTTTGAAGTTTTCCTGCTGTTGGTTCAACAGCGCGATGTACATCTGTTTCTGCTGATCCAGCATGTCTGTTACTTGCCCCGCTCTGTGATACACTTCTTTTGCTTCCATATCCTCATTCACTTCTGATTTATTAGCTTTTTTCCCTCTTTGAGGCATTTTAATAGTTGTAGAGTTTGTTCAAAGACTTGAAAGTGTAAAACAGACAAGAGGAGCAGTAAAGACGTCTGCTCTCGCTTGCAACCCGGAAATCAGTCACCAGTCACTTTTAATGTTGATCTCCTCACTTTTGGTTGTTTGACCGTTCCCCTGTGTACATGTCACTTGGAAAGTTGTGTAGTCCTAAGCCTACATTTCGGCTTTTGCTCCATATAAATATCATTACTATTTCCTTACATTGTTGAAAAGTGGGTGGCTCGATTTTACACCAGTAACTCATTACTGTTTCTTTTCTAATTGGCATTTTATTTCATTACATATAAGGTCTGATAACATTAATCAAGTTCATTAGTGCAGTTAATGCAGTTCAATTTACAGTGAGTTTACATTTTAGATTCATATCGCAATATAAAAAATGTCATTTCATGCTGACTTTAATCTCAGAATTTAGACCTTTTTTCCCCTTTAAATTTTTGGAAAACGGCTTCTTAATTCTGAAATAAACCAGAGGATATTGATTTTTGGCTGAACTGTCTGACTTTTTGACTTTGTTCCATTGTTATACAAGCTAGTCTCAGAATTTGGACTTGAAACGCACAATGCTGAGAAGCTAAATGTGACTTGGTAATAAGCTTTGTGTTGTTTGGTTTGTGTTCAGTTCCAGTGTGGACTAATGGAGCTGAAGGTCATCAACTGGTCTAATTTGTCTCAGCATAGACTGCTGTCTGGAAATGTCCAACTGCTGCAGAAGAGCGAGGCGCTGGAGCACATACTGTATGGGAGGTATGTCTGTTCAAAACACAGGACGATACACACCCCGTTCACAAATTAACACACTGGAACAAATCCCAGCAGTAGTGGTGAGGCCTTGCAGTATTGGCCAGTGCTAACAGTACTTCAGAAAAATCTGAAAAATGTTTTTTGAAACATGACCAGTCTCAATCAAGGAATGTGTTGTGGAGTTTGAGAGAAACTAATGAGGTTTGTATGAATGGCAGAAATCATTTTGACTGGATCACATCTAGCCAGGATAGCTGACAGGAGAGATGATCAGAGGGGCGAAGTTTGCACCATTTTGAAGCCCCGGACTAAAGAATGGGTAGAGTTTCTCGGTGAAGGAGCAGTCAGCAAAGTGGTGGATACGGTCCGTTGAATCTACGTCAAAGAAACTGACTGAGCTGTTCTTAAAATCCACAAACACACCCACCTTCTTTGGTGGCTGTTTCACACTGAGGTACGCAGCAAAGGCTTTGTACTTATCTCCGTTCCTTAAACAGATAGTCCAGTAGCCACTCTCGGGCTCGGCTTTGATCTTGCCCTTCCTGTTGATCGACTCTTTGACCACTCCTAAATCCCAGGAACTCTTCCCTTCAACCTGGACCTCATAGTAGAATCTTCCTGAAGAGAAACTCTGCTTTCCAAGGACATTTATGGCAGGATTAAATCTTTCTGGGCCATCAGTGAGATCTTGCTTTTTGCCACCATAGAACACTTGTTTCCCATCATCAGACAAAATGAGATACGGATTTGCTGTTTTAGGATCTAAAGTCACGTCCACTGCAAACTGCTGGACCCGGTTCAGCTTGGCTTTAGCAACCAGTTTCTCCATCTCTTTGCTGAGGCTTTCCTTCAGCTGTTTCACGGTGGTCCCCACACTTTGTCCATATGATGGCGGTGGGATACTGACCTCTGTCCAGTTTTTGGTGGGTAAAGCTGCTTTCAGGGACTTGAAGCATTGGAGGAAGTTGAGGTGGTTGTCTGCATGTGAAAGCTGCTCCACGACAGTGCTTCTCTCTGTCAGCTCAGAAATTTCCTGCTCTAGCTCTTGGATGAATCCTTCAGCCTCTTTCTGTGTTGCTTTCTGTTTTTCTTCAATAGCTTCAACAAGGTTCTTCAGACTTTTCTCGACAGTCTCCATCAACACACTAAAGATCAGCTCGCTGTCTTTGATCTGTCTGTCGGCAGATTTCTGGCTGAGCTCTGCTGAGCGTTTGATTTCCAAGATCTTTGTCTGTCTGTCCTGGATCATCATGTTAATGTCAGCTTTTGTCTTCCCCAGCTCAGCCTTCTTTGTTTCATATTCGCATTTGAGAAGAGCAGGGTCGTGGTTCTTGAGGTCTGAAACAAGGCAACACACAAGTGTGGTCAGTTAGTGGTTTACCTGTGTACAAGTCAGTTTTAATTAGGGATTTATTATGTTTTGAATGTTACTCTTAATTCACAACAAATTAATGAATTGATGAGATGATGAGTTTTAGATTCATATTTTTACCTTCCCTCAACTTCCCATTCATTCCCGCTCTGTTGCTGGACTGAAAAAAAAACTGCTGATCTTCTCTAAAATCTTTCTGGTTATCTCCAGAGCTCTAGGGCAGCAGTATTTTTCCACCATTCGATCTACAGTGTCTTGCCTGTCTGCCCTCGCCAGCCGGGCCTCTGTGATGCCTGAGATGCCTTCCACGATGTCATCCTGCTTCAGGAACCACTGGAAACGCTTAAAGTCTTCTTCTGTCAAGCGTTGCAGAGTATTCCAAAGGTCTTCTTTAAGTGTTGTCATCGTGGCTCCCGGTAACAGAAACAGATTGATAAATGCAGCTCCTAAGGCAAAGGATGGCTGTCACTCTGTAGATTGTCAGCTGTAGGAAATCACAGCCTTGTCATTTAAATTATCACAGGACAAGTACAAACTGCAACAGAGTAGTATGGCGTTATATTTGTGCCAATTTCCTGAGCGAGCAATGGGACATTTTGAGCGCGCGCATCTGACATCCTGAGCACGGGATGTTTTTTTGAGCGCGCGCATCTGACATTCTGAGCGCGGGATGTTTTTTTTGAGCGCACGCATCTGACATTCTGAGCGCGGGATGTTTTTTTTGAGCGCACGCATAGGTCAAATGCTTTTGCTCAACTATTTATGCCCTCTCACAATCTGCATCTCTGCGCTCGTTCTCTCTCGCTCACTCGCTCTCTGAGAACCTCCTCTGTGTGCGCTCAGGTCGCCTTCTACGCTCGTTCAATTCTCTGATACAGCCGTTACAAATGTGCCAAAAAAACAGCCAACTAGAGGACGGAATTGTTCCTTCATCCTGATTGGCTGTTACATTCTGCAATCACGACAAACCGAAAACCGAGGTGGCTACTGTGGCTAATGGCTGCCTAGCGGACCCGTCTTCTAACATGGCGGAGTCCAATAATAATACAGACACACAGCATCAAGTAAGTTGTGATTTCTTTATTTGTTTCACAGTATAATGTATCATTTGACTGACTTTTACTAAACGTGATAGCCTACTACATTTAGAAAGTAATTCATATAGTCTGCTACCAAGA